ATACTCTATAATAATTAAAAATTCATTATTAATAAAAGTATTTTTTTAAAAAAAAGTAATGATTACACTTTGAAAGACTAAAAATATTTTACATTTTTTAATATCAAACTTTTTAAAAAATATCTTATATTTTTGAATGGAAGGAATATGTGTTTGTGTGGTGTGGTTTAATGTTTAAGAATGAATTGTTTTTTACAAAAAAAAAAAAAGCTTGGGGTCATCTCGTAGTATGGTTTTAAAATATAAAATAAAATAATCTGACATAATTTCATATTTTTTTATTTATAAAAAGAACAAATAGAATGAAAAAATATGACTAAAAGTAATTTTATATATTATAAATGATGATATGATTTAGATGCTTATGATGATTATTATTCTACTTTTTTATAACATTTATTGAGTATAATATAAGTTTATACTCCACAAGCAGGAGAGTAAATGCTAGTTAATATGATAATATTTTGACTTAGTTTATAATATCTATAAGACAATTTAATTTTTTAAAAAAATTATTTAAAAATATTTTTTTAAAAAAGGAAAGAAGACGAGTTGGCTTTTCGGCCTACCCATGTATGGGGGTTGGGTTGGCATTTTTCTCAAGCTTCTATGAGGCGGGCTGATTCTAGAGATGGACAAGACTAATATAGAAGCTAAAATAATCAACACAAAAATTTAGAGATATACTCTCACCCATTTTTATCGTAGAATACTTTTAATTATTTTATATTTTTTAAAAATTTTTAATTTTTAAATATCATAAAAAAATAAGATATATTTTTAATTTTATCCTCAATTTTAAATAATGATACAAATACATTAAATACATTCACATTAATTAAAAAAGAATAAAATAGGAAAAAGTAGTTTTTTTTGGACCAGTTATAGAAAAAATAGTTTAATTATTATAAATATACTATATTTTAAATTAAAAATTATTTTTAAAAAGTCTCCTATAAATAATATTGGAGGAATACATAACAGTAGGTTGGAAGCCAAACGGTAACCAGCGCAAACAAACCGAGTAGTGCGACCGCTATTACACAAATAATAGTACAGTATATGACACAAATCCAGCCATTTATCATATATACATACATACTTTTTTAGGTGGTCAATCATATTTACTGCCCCCAGTGGAACGAGAATGATGATTCAAATAATTGATTATTACTAAACGCCACTTTCATCTTTTGATAGTTTGAAATTATATTGGATCTAATAGACTAATATACATTACAAATGAGATTTGGATAGGAAGGTCTTTTGATTATTTTATATGGTTATCTTGCTATATCAAATTTGAGTATTATCGGCCCTAATTAATGATAGCTCTCCCAAAAATGTTTTTAATATTTGTAAGAACTCAAACATGAAACCTTATACTTAAGTAGTAACAGCCTCCTTTACAAGAATTAATATTTACTGTTAGAGTTAGGAATATAATTTAAGTTAAAGATCAACCCACCAAAAATAAAAAACGGTGGGCTTTCAATTCATTCGGCCAACCCCACCTAATTGGTAAATTGTAGCAATTTAACCCATGAGTTAACCCACTTGTTTTTTAATATAATTTTCTGGTTTAATTTTAATGAAAAAAATTATTTTTGTACTTATTTTAAGCATAACCTAATTTGTTTAATGTTAGGAATATAATTTTATGTCTGATTCTTCATTTTTATTGATTTATCATTTTTATATTAATAAAATAAATTACTTGTTTGAAAACATGATATATTTTAATTTAGTTTATAACAATTTGTAATACAATTTAAAATTTTTACAAAATTATTTAAAAATAAAAAAGAAAAAGAAAGAAAGAAAGCGAGTTGTCAAGTTCGCTTGCCAATGCACAGTGGGCTAGGCTGACATTTTCCCAACCTGCCAGCCCTTAGGTTGGTTTGTATTATCATCTCTTTAATCTTTTTATTATTGAAGTAGATTTCAATAATATCTTTTATCTCAAATGATGTAAAATATTAAATAATATTAATCTTTTAATCATTAGTTTATAAAATAATAGTATTTTAAGTAAAAAAGTAAATAACAAAATCTATACCGTTCAATTTCATTTAAACCTTTAAAAGATGCACTTGAAAATTTAACTTTTTACCCCCATGTCATTTTTCAAGTCATTTTTTTTTTGGCAAGGATTTTCCAAGTCATTAACTAGGCCCCTTGTGTGACTATTAGACGTCCCATTGATATGGGTGTTAAATTTTTTACAGTGGCATAAATGTATCTTGGAGCAATTTATCGATTAATTATTTATCCCATCATCATCTTCATCAAATTTATTATTTATATAATTAATCATTGTACAATTGTTATTAACACACGCATATGTGTGTGTTATCCACTTAGTTAATATTAAAAATTATACAAGTAAAAAAACTACAAGATGATCATGATTTTAAAGATGAAGATAATATAAGAGTCAAATTGTGTAATATCTCCTGTATTTTGCATCAATTATAGAAGTATTTATTTTATTTAAAAATACATATACGGACTTTTTTTGGAATTCAAAATTGTGCTATACATAAGTGTTAAATCATGTTAAATTAATGGGATGTTATATTATCTAATTTAAGAATCTTTCATACTTAAATACCCCTTTAAACCCATATAATTGTTAGCCAATAATACTTTTGTTATATATTCTTCTAAACTTTTAAAGAATATGATAAAACTGATTTATTCTATATTGCAAACTTTTAAGGATATTTAGTAAAATTATTTATTTATAAATATTCAATAAAACTTATATAATTTTATATAAAACAATTACTAAAAAGATCTTTTAAACGTATCTTTTCTTAAAAAAAAAATTACACTATAAATATAAGTTTTACAACAATCATCTGAAAACTAACATACAAATAAATATAAAAATGTAATTTAAAATAAAGCTTATCGTTACTTCAAAATACTTTATTTTAATAGTCGGTGACAATTGTATTTTTTATTAGTTATTAATTAACTAATTTATCATTATCTTATCATTCAAATTTCAATCTCATTTTAAACTTTTTATCGTTACCCAATATATAATCTTAATATCCCCACTCTTTGTGAAGTCCAACCTAGTCAAGATTTTCCCACTTGACTCCGAATTCTTGAAATTGCTATAAATTCCTCTCCACTTAATTGCTTTATATCTCATCCTCCAATCTATCATTCAGTAAATATATATCGCTCATATCAAGGGGGAAAAAATGTCATACGGCTACCGTTTCAAATGCATCATTGTTGGTGACACTGGTGTGGGAAAGTCATGTCTTCTTTATCAATTCATTGACAGGCGGTTTCAGTCCACCCACAACATAACCCTTGGTGCTGGATACGGAGCTCAGATGATTCAGATCGATAAGAAACTGATGAAGTTGCAAATTTGGGACACAGCTGGTCAAGAACAATTCAAGTCGTACTAGGTCTTACTTGAAACGAGCCATAGTTGCATTGCTTTTGTATGATATAACAAGGAGGGAGACTTTTAATCACTTGGATTCATGGTTGGAAGACATTAAGGAACATGCTGATGTGAACGTGACTATTGTGTTGGTTGGGAACAAGTCTGATCTTTCTCTGAGAAGGCAAGTGAGTATCGAGGAAGGTGAACATTTTGCTAAAGAGAATGATTTGATTTTCTTGGAGGCTTCGGCCAAAATGGGTCAGAATGTTTATGAGGCATTTGAAGGAGCAGCTAAGGTTGTGTACAAGAAGATTGGAAAGGGGAGATTTTGATTTATCAGATCAGAGTTGTGGACTAACAGAAGCAAATTGTGGGAATATTAATCTACAATATGGACAAAGGAGCATTAGTTCCTCTTCTAAAAGTGCTTGCTGTCGCACCTAAAAGATGAGAAAATAACTATTTGTTTTATTAATTATTTTTTAATAATTTCTTGTGTTCTGTTTTTTTCCCCCTTTTGGATATATGTAGATATTAAAATATCTTTTACATTATTCATAAAATCGAATTTCTTTCTTTTCTTTTGCCTTGTGTATTTATATGTATTTGAAGAACTAGCTATTAGTTTTCTGTAGAGTCTAGGTATTAATAATTGGCATTAATTTCATCGTTAACATAGATTTAATTTATTTAATTAATAATATTCTAATATAGTATGTTTTTATTTAAAGAATAGATAATCATTATGTTTTTATTTAAAGAATAGATAATCATAAAGAATTGAAATTCAAATTAAGATAAAAAAGGACAAAACTTATGTACTTAATCTTATTTACTTAATATGATTTTATTCAATTAAATCAAACCAACTATATTTTAATATGTTAATAACATTAATAACAAGAATTTGTTATAAAATAAATAATCTATAAAAGATTTATATGAATTGATTTAATTAAAAATAAGTACTTCAAGTATACAAGACTAAGTATATAAATTTTTAACAATTTATTATAATAAAGTTTCTCAAAATAATAGCATTCTAACACATAAATTTGGGAAACTTATATAGTTAAAGTACTTATGCTTAATTAAATTAAGATATATATATATATATATATATATGTACATATATCATTTATAGATTATTTATTCAGAAAATCGAATTTCTTTCTTTTCTTTTGCCTTGTGTATTTAAAGAACTAGCTATTAGCTCTCTATAGAGTCTAGGTATTAATAATTGGCATTAATTTCATCGTTAACATAGATTTAATTCATTTAATTAATAATATTCTAATACAGTATGTTTTTATATAAAGAATAGATAATCATAAAGAATTCAAATTCAAATTAATATGTGAATAAATAGAAGATTGCATCTGGAACAGAGTATGCTCGGTTATCAGCAAGACAGAGATTGGATTACTTGCTGGTGCAGATGATCAAGAAATGAGGAACTGTATGTCAGGTCATTAAATTAGCTACATTAATTCTAATTACCCTCATTCCCCTTGGTTCAACATTATTAACATTTGTAGTTCTTGCGCCAGTAGCTTTAGTATTAAGGTCGGCACTCCTAAACACATTTGTCTCCATCAAAAAGACCCATTAAGTCAAAGTAAAATGGATAATGGAAATAGGTTCATACATTTTTTCCCCCAAAAAATAAGAGCACATTCTCCTTTCCAAAGCATGACTTCATCTCCTGCAATATGTGAACAAGAACTATTCATAGTCCTCGTTATAATCCCAAAACTACCTCTAAATAGTCTCAACAAAGATAAGAGCACCAAAACAATCAGCAGGCAACGCATTTGCAGCTTCCAAATGTCTATTGTCCTTGCTACATTCAGTGCCTCTTGGACTATACAAATTTTTTGCTTTCCAGTCACTATTCAGATGAAGTCTAGTGAACTGAGTAAAATCCACAAGTTCGATAAATTTTGTTCCAGACAGAAAAATACATTTAGCATTTTCAAGTTTCCATAAAAGACATAATCAAAGCTTTAGATACTTTTTCAACAACCTCAAGTGTAAACCATTCCAGCAACCAAACATCAAATTCTATAAAAGCATCCCCAATCATATTCACAAGAGCTGGGATTTATAGACTATAGGATTTACAGAGGAGTCATACCAACTATAGGATTTATAACTCATGCAAAAATGAACCACAAACCTCTCAGAGTATTTGCCAACCTCATCAACTCTGAATTCCCGTGTCTCGGCTTCTTCCTCATAAGCACTGGAACATTCAAACTTGACACCATCATCGAGTAGCCAAGATTCCATTCAATTAAGACATCCTTCGATCTCAGACATCCCAAACCAAACAATTCGTCAATATCGTCAAATCAGGAGGCACCCATCAAAGATCCTCCAATCCAAAGATGCAAGCGAAATGCTCGTTCTTCAATTGAAGCCTAAACGTCGCTGCCAATCCATCATGATTTCGGCAAAAGTTAAGCTCCCCCATTCCACAGATATTTAAAGTCTCCAAATCACTTATGAAGATTCCTTAAACTACCCACTCGCACACCCACTAACAGAAACATCCAAAGCAACTTCTCACTCACATCCAACCTGGGCTGGAAAGGGGATGCTGCTGATGGCATAGCTCTTAAAAATAGAAACTTCACCCTCCAAGATGAGGGAGGGGCAAAGCCACAGCAGAGCAAGTCTCAACGAAAAGGAGAAGCCCTAAATTAGGTCTTAATAAAACAGAACTTATAAGATGTTCAGCTGTAGATCATCACTGTTGAAGTGACTTGGGACACCTGAATCTGAAATGAAGTGAATAATAATAACAATAATATAGAAAAGGAATTTCAGTACCTTAGGATATGTTGAACAGCATAAATATTCTGTTGGGAAAGGACACATTCACTTGAATAGTACCAAAAAAATTGGTCATCATTCGTTTTTCTTTCTTTCTTTCTTTCTTCTCTTTTTTACTCTGGATTACATGGTTATCATCATCTTTATGTTCCTTCAATTTCACCATTCAAACTAACTTTAGATATAAATTTCTCATTGACCCACCAAAGCCATGACCCCTTAACAACATTTACTCCTTCATTCAGTGATGCATTGAATTTACATGAGGAAGTTGAAAGGAGATGTATGATTCCAAGTACACATGGAACATAGTACATATAACCAACATCTCCTGTGTAGTTGGAAGATGAAAATAGAAATAACATTGATAGCTGCAAGAGTAATAAAGATGCTAAAATAAACGTTTTAAGCTAACGGCAAGAGTAATAAAGATACTAAAATAAACATTTTAAGCTAAGTTGATGACCGACAATCTTAAAGCATCTCCATAATATCATCCTCTCTATCATTGCAAATGTCAGCAAATTCATCCTTATTCGAAGAGAAAAATTCACAGACCTTTGAAATCCAAATAAAAAATCCATATGATTTATAAGGGATAAAATCAATATATGATTTATAAGGGGAAAATATCAATATGATTGGCAGGAGGAGGGAAAGCCAACTCAAAAATTCACAAGATCAGTGAACACCATGGAGAGAAAAAACAAAGACAAGACAAATGAATCATTCATAACTTCATATCACACAATATCTGATCAGCACCATTGGTGGAAGGCTAGGGATTAGAGGGGGAAAAAGAATAGATAAGAAAATAAAATGGTTAACCAACAATGCCTAGATAAAGGTAGGAAGTGGTTATTTAACTTTAATTAGAGAGAGAGATTCAGAAATCTTTTTGAGATAAAGGAGCAAATCATTCATGTCTGACATTTCCATAGGCATCCACAAGCTTACCATCGTTTATGTTTCTTAAAATGGAGGAAGCCATTCAATATCATACAATGACCAGGACTTGAAATGATTAAGCATACATTATCTCATTTAGAAGTTTAAGAATAATTAAATGCAGCATTAACTACTTAGACATGATTTCCTTTATTCAGATGAGGAAAATGATATGGACATATGGCATAGTATCGCCAATATAGACAAAACAGTTAAAATTATATATGAGCCCGCACGCTGCGCACATGACACATGCACACACATACACATAAAGAAACAAAGAAATTAATGAGTTGAAGATGGATGCAGAGGAAGATATCCAGTGAAACACATACCAGGAGAAAATGGTCATATGGAGTAGCTATCTGGCATCCTTCACATACACCAAAAAGTGAAGTCAAACTTGATTTGTCTCTTTGCTCTTCATCGATTAAGACTTCACATCACAAATAAAGAATAGTCTGAAAGTAACGAAACTCCTAGACACAGTAGTAAAGACAGAGCACAAAGGGAACTTAAGAGAGTGTACATGTTTACATTAAAGAAACCACTTTTTGATCGAGTAACAGCAACAAAGTGTATCTGTGCAGACAGATAAGGAACAGGTGCAAGATGCAAAGATTAAACATAAATCCCCCTAAAATTCACCAAATAGCTAACATAATGATGGGAAGCCTAGTTAGAATTTGTTTTATGTTTTGGTAATTTTAAGCCTAGCAATTATCTTAAGGATTTAATTTATTTTGAATTTAAATAAGCATAATATTTATCTTTTTATCCTCTCCCTCCCGCTCTCCTTCACTGTTTTACATCGGATAACCTGCAGCAACTGGATTTTGTAATACATGAAACCTACAGATTTTATCGCCAAAAACAAAGCAAGAATGGAACTAACTTGTTTACAGCTTGCACACTTAGGAAGGTTTGCATGTATATAAAATAATTTAATAAAACGTATATATGGAGCAAATGGAAACTTTAAATTTCTCAATCTGCACACTCAAGCAAGAATAAAGTCATAAAAACCAGAACCCACAAATAAGAGAATATCCAAATTTATAAATGGTAACACAAGGCAATGTATATAGCCAAATTCTGCCAGTTGAACACGGTATTAGGTTTGTCTAATGTTTTTGATCCCTCCACACCTCTTTAGGGTGGCTAAATATTTTGAGCCAATGCATGTAATTTTCTCAGATATATAAGTTAAAGAATAATGCAATTTAAAAGAGCAAGTAATCAGTTGACAGACAGACCAATTATGAAAACAACAGGTTCTATCAATCAGATTTCTAAAAGCGAGTTCAAACTTAAGTCAAAGGGTCCATTCAGTTGAGGTAAACTCATTGTTAGACTTAATTAGCTTTAGTTAATGAATCACTTTTTTTTTTTTCTTTTGACCTGAATAAATCACACTTTGAAACCAACAAACTTGTTCTCTGTCATTCTTCCCACTATCAATATGTTTTCCAGTTGTTATTTTTTTTAATCAGCTTCTGCATTCTAATTAATTTTCTAAAACTGGGTATTGCTGAAAGATGGGTTCTGATCAAATGGAGTGCCATAGCTCCCGAGCTCACTATCACGAGGACTCGACTATTTAGTTTAGCCAGATATTTCTAAAACAAACTACAATAAAAATCAAATATTGGGATGAGACCGAAATCCTCTATTTGGGTATTTCCCAATTAGAACTACAAAATCCCAAGAATCTGCCAAGTCAACTCTCTTTCAGACAATATTTGTATAGAAAAGGAAATTGTATTAAGAGGTGCACAGTGCCCTATGTCATTCATTCAATATATAATAGGTATACAAAACCCTAAAAAGGGTAACAGCTATACAGAATAGATAAGACTAAGGAATAAATAATATTCTGAATAAATAAATGTGCTATACAATCACTGTTTGGGTCTGAGTCTACTGGGCATAGTTATTTTCTTTACAGCTCCCTTCAAATGAGAGACGGGATTTTTGACGAGTCCATATTTGTTCCTTGAGCCCAGAAACTTTGTGTGAGAGAGAGCCTCGGTGAATAGATCAGCAATTTGCTCCGATGAAAGCACATAATGAACAGCCAATTTTTGGGAAAAGACTTGATCTCTAACAAAGTGAACATCCAATTCAATGTGCTTAGTTCTTGCATGGTAGATTGGATTCGAAGCTAAGGCAGATGCACTGAGGTTGTCACACCAGGAAATGGGAATCTGAGGTAATTTCAGACCTATTTCAGACATCAAGGATTGAATCCAAGTAATTTCTACTGCAAGATCAGCCAATAACCTATATTCTGATTCGGTGCTTGATCGTGAAACTACTCTTTGCTTCTCTCCAGACCAAGCAACTAGAGATTGATCGAGAAAAACACAATAACCTCCAATCGACATACGATCATCTACACACATTGCCTAATCAGCATCCGAAAAACCTTGCAAGGTAAGATGATTGCTAGGTTTTATGTGTAGAGATAAATCTGCTGTTCCTTGTAGATACCTTAGAATTCTCTTTGCTGCTTACCAATGTTGACCTGTAAGGGATTGTAAAAATTGATTGATTGATTTACTGCAAAAAGAATATCTAGTCTCGTGTTGATTAAATACTGAAGTGCTCCTATCACTTTTCTGTAGATTGTAGGATCAGCAAGTGGGGTGTCATCATTTATAGAGAACACTTTGTTGATAACCATTGGTGTAGGAACAGGGGTACACTGAACCATCCTAAACCTCCTTAGTAAATCAGCAATATATTTCTCTTGTTTGAGGTAAAGACTAGTTGAATCTCTATAGGCTTCTATCCCTAGAAAATGATGTAAATATCCTAAATCTTTCAATGGAAATAGGACATCGAGCTGTTTAATGAACATTGACAGCATGTGTGGGTTGTTCCCTGTAATAATTGTCATCCACATACTCTAGAACAAACATGACCTTTGTCTTCATTTTGTAAAAGAACAAGGAATTGTCACATTTTGAGTGTTTGAAGTTCCAGTGAAGTAATGTATTTTTTAACCTTTCAAACCATGCTCGAGGAGCTTGTTTCAAGCCATAGATAGCTTAATGAAGAAGACAAATGTGATTAGGGTACCTTTTGTCCACAAACCCTTCAGGCTGCTTAATATATACTCTCTCTTGTAGAAAGCTATTTAAGAAGGCATTATTAATATCAAATTGTCTAATCTGCCACCCAAAGCATACTGAAAGATTTAGAATAAATCTTAGAGTGGAAGACTTTAGAACTGGTCCAAGGTTGTTAAAGGCGAAAGGCGCACTTAAGGAGCAGAGCCTGTAAAACGCCTTAGGCGCATAACGCTGGAAAGGCGTGCGCTTGAATGAAGCGAGGCGCTACCATGTGTTATAGCCTCTAGGTTTTGCTGCTCTATTCTAAACGTCTAATGGATTATAATAGGTTCTCTTTTATAACCTAATCAGTATAAGTTGGGATTAAATTTTCTTGAAAATTTTCCAAGGCTCATAATAATTTCACTATCATGTTTAAAATTTCAATCAAAAAGTATTTCTTGCAATAAGTTTAAATCTTTTCTATTATGTAATTGTCTTCTCTTATTTTGAAATTAAATATTTCATATTTGTTTTTATATCATTTAACTTTTCATATTTTATATCATATTTTAATGGGTTATGTATTAAAATATGAGCAAACCCATTGTCTTCTACAATATGTTACTCCATAGAAGTCAAGTGAAGCCGTCGGTGCTGTCCTTATCTTCTCTTCTCTTCTTCCGTACGCTATCAGCATCGTCCTCATCAATTCCAATTGGTCGTTATCTTCTCTTCAATAACCAAACCCAGTTAGTCGTCTTCTTCACTTCTTCAATACCTAGTCCCAGTCGGTCGCCTTCGTCTCTTCTTCAATGCCCAGTGGTTGATCATCATCTGCTCTTCTTTTGTTCCCCTATTCTTCAACCTACTTCAATTAGGCACCCTCAGGCGAGCGCTTTTTGCTCGTGCAAGGCGCACAAGGCGCTCTCAGGCATGCGCCTAACTAACCCCATTGCCTCTCTTCACATGAGAGGC